CAGACAGGCTGTGTGAGCCAACTATACCATGGCCATTGATATGGGTGGGTTGGGACAGGGAAGGTCAAGGTTTCCAGGGATATATAGATGTAGAGTTATCTTCCTGGTGCTTATCTGTTAATATCGCCCTAGGTCTCCCATATGATGGTGGCAAGTGGTCCTGTGCCAATGTACAGGACACAGATCAGGTGAAGTTAAGCAACATGGGTTGTAGAGTCCTTGGGTGGGTGACCGCGTATCGGTAGCTTGGCTCCTGAGAGTTTCTAGGGCTTCAGTCCTGCTCCACACTGAAGCACATTTAGCACATGTGGTGTCTCCAAGTGCCTCTGTTCACCCAGCAGTAAATGGGTACCTGTTAGGATGAGCTGTCAATGTGGTTGTCAACCTAGCACCTAACAGGCAGCTTGGGTTGTATACTCCCCATGGAGCTGAGAATGATGAGATCACACTGATCCAGTGACCGGGGTAATAATTGCTCTTTGAGCATGCCCCTGAGTAGTGTGGAAATATGCACAATATCAATGGCCTATTATTGTTATTATTTTTATTGACCGCCTCCGTGGTCTAGTGGTAGAGCGTCCGCCCGGAGAGCGGAAGGTCCGGGGTTCGATCCCCGGCCGCGTCATACCAAAAGACGTTTAAAGATGGTACTTGTTGTTACCCTGTCTGGCGCTCGGCATTAAGGGGCTAAACCAAGGACTGGTTGGCTCGGAGTCAGTATACTGTGTCTGAGTGTGGTATTCATGTTAAACTGCGGCATGGTATCACAGTGAGCTAGCACTATAAATCAGCATCAGTCCAGACCAGTACAAGCAGCCACACACACACATACACGTGCATGCACTTCGTTATATAAGTGCAATAATCTTGGACGCGACGTTAAACCCCATTTCACCTCACCTATTATTTTTTTTAAATATTTTTTTAATTATTATTATATGGTAAGTAATATACTTGAGTAATAATATTGGTATGAACCATGTTGCTGCAGGTTTTGTATGATCAAACATTGATGATTGTTTGGCATATGTAACATCCAAGCCGGCGATGTCAGATTCATTGAAACTAGGACATAGACAAACCAATGTAGGAACTTCAAAATAAGGACGAATAAAAAAAAAGATTTGATAGTGAATGCTTGATACAGCCATTAGTAGGCCCGGGGGAAAATGTAGGGGAATTATAAGTTTGAGCACTAAATAAGGGCAGGCATATCCCTACAGGCATGGTGAGATCTACACAAGGATTACACAGTTGCCGAGGGAATTGTACATGATGTATAAGATTAGTCGCCATCTTGATTTTACGATGTGGACTTAGCAAGGGAAATATGAAAATGGCTGGCAGATAAAAGCGATTAGTTCCCTGGTTAAAGTCAACAGAGAAGGAGTGAGGTCCGTATTTTGTGTACTCATTCGAAGTCAAGACGCATTTTTTGTTGGTGCGACTTTAGCCGTAAAAATGTCAAGTCTTAAAAAACAACCCTTCTTGATAAACAAAACACTGTGCTGTTGTGGTAAGCTGGATACAAGTGAAGGGAGTCTTTTCTCTCCAACACGAACAAAAGAAAGATTTACAATTGCTTTTGATATATTTTTTGTTTATCAGGCAAAACATGCCGTTAAAATGTCGTATGGTCGTAAAAATGAAAATAGAAAATAAAAATAAAATGAAATGAAAGAACAAACACTTTCATTACATTTGAATATTTCTATTATGTGTTGGGAAATATGGACGATTAAAGAGGCATATGAAAATACAAGATTTAATGGTGAATATATAAAAACAGGATTTTGTGCTTAATGAAGACCAGCAAGAATTAATGGAAGATAAAGTACTACGAGATATTACGTGGCAAAACAGGTGCACATTGAACATGATGAATTACGTAGGTTTCCTCGCGCTCCTGACCGACCAACTTTCAGGGGTCTGAGAAACCCACTGGTGTAATAATGTGGATCTAATGTACGACCCTCAGACCCAGCTCTTCCACTGAAAGCATGATTTGAAGAAAGTACAACATTCAATGGAGAATTTTCTTTTAAATCTTAAAAAGCTTCATAAAAAATAGAAGTGAATTTAAAGCAAATTTGTCCTTCTAAGCTGTCGGCTATGATGGCTTGGAATACATCACGGCCGCCACTTTCATGGTCTTTCAACCACCACGGCTCCACTTCCTGCTACGTTGCACTCCGAGGTGTGTTGGTATTACTACCATTACCTTCTGAAACTCCATTTCCTTCTCTTTCACGATGAAACCAGCGCGATTATACTTTGAATTTAAGTACAGAATTTTCTGTCTTATAAACGTCAAGAAAAGCGCAATTCAGCTTTTTCCCTACTCCGAGGTTGCATTAGTGTGTGGCTGTGAAATGAAGTCGTAATGACGTTATAGTTTGTAATTTCCACCTCTGAGCTTGTAAAGCAAAATTCAATGTCTGTGTGATCTTTTGCACGTCACAATGTTGTGCTGAGGTATTGCAGTCCATTAACTGCACGCGTCAGAGCTCAACAGTTAGCTGTGGAGACTGGAACGCTGTCGTGATCACTGATCAGTTTGAATACTCGTAATTACTGGTCAGTTACAATCACAGCCGATCACCACTGCGGGATCAATAATGGAGAAGCAGATTCATCACCCACTTTCTGACATCCACTCCATCGTCTTTTACCAGGGTAGTGTGGAGGGAGGGGTAGCCTGGCGGTTTGAGGGACTGGAGGGAGGGGTAGCCTGGCTGTTTGGGGGACTGGAGGGAGGGGTAGCCAGGTGGTTGGGGGGACTGGAGGGAGGGGGGTAGCCAGGTGGTTGGAGGGACTGGAGGGAGGGGTAGCCTGGCTGTTTGGGGGACTGGAGGGAGGGGTAGCCAGGTGGTTGGGGGGACTGGAGGGAGGGGGGTAGCCAGGTGGTTGGAGGGACTGGAGGGAGGGGTAGCCAGGTGGTTGGGGGGACTGGAGGGAGGGGGGTAGCCAGGTGGTTGGAGGGACTGGAGGGAGGGGTAGCCAGGTGGATGGGGGACTGGAGGGAGGGGTAGCCTGGTGGTTGGGGGGACTGGAGGGAGGGGTAGCCTGGCGGTTGGAGGGACTGGAGGGAGGGGTAGCCAGGTGGTTGGAGGGACTGGAGGGAGGGGTAGCCAGGTGGTTGGGGGGACTGGAGGGAGGGGGGTAGCCAGGTGGTTGGAGGGACTGGAGGGAGGGGTAGCCTGGCTGTTTGGGGGACTGGAGGGAGGGGTAGCCAGGTGGTTGGGGGACTGGAGGGAGGGGTAGCCAGGTGGTTGGAGGGACTGGAGGGAGGGGTAGCCAGGTGGTTGGGGGGACTGGAGGGAGGGGGGTAGCCAGGTGGTTGGAGGGACTGGAGGGAGGGGTAGCCAGGTGGATGGGGGACTGGAGGGAGGGGTAGCCAGGTGGTTGGGGGGACTGGAGGGAGGGGTAGCCTGGCGGTTGGAGGGACTGGAGGGAGGGGTAGCCTGGCTGTTGGGGGGACTGGAGGGAGGGGTAGCCAGGCGGTTGGAGGGAGTAGGGTAGCCAGGTGGATGGGGAGAATTGTGTTACCTGGTTGATGGGGAGTATATTTGTTTAATTGATTTCCAAGACTGACACCTCTCTGGCCTGGTGTACAACTGAATTCTGCAACATTAAACCTTCTTCCTTTACAAGGAGTCTCCTGACTTCAACCTTCATTTATCATCCAAAACTGGCTCCCACAGGAGATATCTTTGGGTGAGATCAAACATATCTACATTGTAGATAGCGCTGCAATGAAATGCTTTGCAGACCAGTGTGACACCAATGGCTATTAAGTCATTATTTTGTTAGTTTTCATATATTTTAGTGATACCGTCAAATGCACATTTCAAAGAGCATTGCATTTATCTATAATATATGGTATGGTTTCCAAAATGGATCACATGACCAGCCCCTAATGCATTCTTTTGCATTAACAGAGGATAACAGACCATACACCTTTAAGACTCGTCACAACATTATCGCTGTGTTTCTCATCGGATTTGGAGAATCTAGCCCATTAATGGCACAGTAACACTGACACAGCTGTCTTCTAGCCGAACTGACCCATCACACATGGTTAAGTTGGGGGACCGGAACGTCACACCGCGACACTGTGGAGATTGCGACACCCCTTATCCTTCATTGCAGCTCATGATAAAATCACGAAGACGCCTTGCCGTGATCGCGGAAATTAAACATGGCATGAGGTTTGACTTGGTGGATCTAGACTCGCTGATAACTGCGGGGATAGACCATCTCCCCAGGAACTTTCTCCCCAGGAACCCGTCTTGCAGCCTCAGTTAGGGAATTACGATGCAATTTTTGTGGTAGAAAAATCATCATTTGGACAAAATTGATCAATGTTGTGCAGTGAAGTTATCTAAAATTGTGTCGTCGTGTCGGGAAGGTCTAAGAAATAGGGATGAGTTCATGTTATTTGGTTCATAAAAATTCTATTTTGATATTGGCGTGCATTATATACTCTGTATTGCCCTGTGATCGTAAGCTGTGATTGGCTGATTTGATTGATGGTCGTTAAGAGATTCTGAAAGTGGTTTCTTGCTGTTTTTTGTGGGCAGTACTTTTTCATGAATAATTTGTCGCAATATTGCTGCAGTTGATACTCCTGCCAGACGCAAAGCTTCTAATAACATCCAGGGATTTTGTGTGTACAGCTCAAAAGAATTAAAGAACACATGATTTTTTGTTATTACTATAGTTAATCTGTCATGTCTTGCCATGGTAGGGTACTTTGTTGTAGCAGTATGACTCGGGGTACTTGTGGTTCTGTGTGCCCCTTGTCCACGCCTATAAAACCTAACGCAGGGCGTATGAAACCACATGTACCACGTGTGATGCTGCTACAACTTATTTTGACTTTAAACAAGTGGAGGGAAAACAAACTTGGGATGTTATATTTTGTCAAGTTGAAGATTTCTGAGTTTGTCAAAATGAAGAGTTTTACGTTGCTGTATAACCTGTCTTCTATGTTTCAGAAAGCGCAGTGGTCGTTTGATGATAGCCGTCTCATGGTCATGCATCACCCCATATACAGGTAAAGGAAGCCATACTTAGCTCACCTTAATGCTTGAATAATATAAGGTAAAGGAAGCCATACTAAGCTCACCTTGTAATGCTTGAATAATATTAGGTAAAGGAAGCCATACTAAGCTCACCTTGTAATGCTTGAATAATATTAGGTAAAGGAAGCCATACTAAGCTCACCTTGTAATGCTTGAATAATATTAGGTAAAGGAAGCCATACTTAGCTCACCTTGTAATGCTTGAATAATATTAGGTAAAGGAAGCCATACTTAGCTCACCTTGTAATGCTTGAATAATATTAGGTAAAGGAAGCAATGCTTAGCTCACCTTGTAATGCTTGAATAATATTAGGTAAAGGAAGCCATACTTAGCTCACCTTGTAATGCTTGAATAATATTAGGTAAAGGAAGCAATGCTTAGCTCACCTTGTAATGCATGAATAATATTTGGTAAAGGAAGCCATACTTAGCTCACCTGGTAATGCATGAATAATATTTGGTTAAGGAAGCCATACTTAGCTCACCTTGTAATGCATGAATAATATTAGGTAAATGAAGCCATACTTCACTCACCTGGTCATGCATCACCACTATATCGGTAAAGGATGCCATACTAAGCTCACCTAGTCATGCATCACCGCTATATCTCTAAAGGATGTCATATTTAGCTCACCTAGTCATGCATCACCACTTCATCGGTAAGGATGCTATATTTAGCTTTTTTTTTAGGACGCCATTCTTATCTCACCTGTACATTCTTTGCCAAGATAAAGGTAAAGGATGCAATACTTAGCTCACCTGGTCATACATCACCATATTTAGTTAAAGGATGCAATACTTATCTCCCCTGGTCAGATAGCAGTCGGTTCAGATAAGTCGGATCACATAGGAGTCAGTTCAGATAGTAGTTGGTTCCGATAGCAGTTCATTTACATAATCAGTTCACATGACAATCATGAATGTAGTTCGCGTACCAATCAGACCCTTGTCAGGAATTTTATGGAATTCTGCAACACATCTTGGATGATTGGACTATCAGTATGTGCTATAGTCCCATCATATTTAGCACGGGAAAGTGGGCTTGATGTGGATGGTGTAGAAACTACACGTTCATTAGGAGGCTAGTGGACATTCTTGCTTCGGGGAAGATGGCTTCAACAGGGAGCAGGCTGCTTCGAAATGTTCACATATCAGTTCACATAGGAAACAATCAGTTCACATAGGAAACAATAAGTTCACATAGGAAACAATAAGTTCACATGACAATCAGTTCATATTACAATCAGTCCACATAGGACACAATCAGTTCACATGACAATCAGTTCATATTACAGTCAGTCCACATAGGAAACAATCAGTTCACATGACAATCAGTTCATATTACAATCAGTCCACATAGGAAACAATCTGTTCATATTACAGTCAGTTCACATAGGAAACAATCAGTTCACATGACAATCAGTTCATTTAAGAATCAGTTCATATGACAATCAGCTGACATGACAATCAGTTCACATAGGAAATAATCAGTTCACATAACAATCAGTTCATATTACAATCAGCTGACATGACAATCAGTTCACTTGACAATCAGTTCATTTAACAATCAGTTCATATGACAATCAGCTGACATGACAATCAGTTCATTTAACAATCAGTTCATATGACAATCAGTTCACATCACAATCACCAGGAATTGTACAAAATTCAGCAACAGGCAGCATGTTGCTTCAAATCAACTTCTCTCAAGTTTTGATGAAAGCTTTTTCATTGAAATATTGGCGTGATCGTGTAGCATTTATTGTTGTTGTGGCATCTCCATCCATCATGTGCCCCGCATCGCAGACTTCAACAAGATTGGGACTGAATGCGTTCAGCTGCATGGGCTGATAGATTTTGACCCAGAGCTGTGAACGAACATGACAAGTATTCAACACTTGTCTTAAGCACATCTACTGATACCTGACCTTTTTGAATGTTTCATATTTTTTCCCCATTTCCAGAGAAGCATGTGTCCATGGGCTGCAGCATTGCTAGCCAGGTGACACACACAATGAAGTGGTTGTGTCAGTGTGTTTGATTGTAGTGGTTGTGCCAGTGTGTGTGATTGTAGTGGTTGTGTCAGTGTGTGTGATTGTAGAGGTTGTGTCAGTGTGTGTGATTGTAGTGGTTGTGTCAGTGTGTGTGATTGTAGTGGTTGTGTCAGTGTGTGTGATTGTAGTGGTTGTGTCAGTGTGTGTGATTGTAGTGGTTGTGCCAGTGTGTGTGATTGTAGTGGTTGTGTCAGTGTGTGTGATTGTAGTGGTTGTGTCAGTGTGTGTGATTGTAGTGGTTGTGTCAGTGTGTGTGATTGTAGTGGTTGTGTCAGTGTGTGTGATTGTAGTGGTTGTGCCAGTGTGTGTGATTGTAGTGGTTGTGTCAGTGTGTGTGATTGTAGTGGTTGTGTCAGTGTGTGTGATTGTAGTGGTTGTGCCAGTGTGTGTGATTGTAGTGGTTGTGTCAGTGTGTGTGATTGTAGTGGTTGTGTCAGTGTGTGTGATTGTAGTGGTTGTGTCAGTGTGTGTGATTGTAGTGGTTGTGTCAGTGTGTGTGATTGTAGTGGTTGTGCCAGTGTGTGTGATTGTAGTGGTTGTGTCAGTGTGTGTGATTGTAGAGGTTGTGTCAGTGTGTGTGAATATAGTGGTTGTGTCAGTGTGTGTGATTGTAGTGGTTGTGTCAGTGTGTGTGATTGTAGAGGTTGTGTCAGTGTGTGTCAATATAGTGGTTGTGTCAGTGTGTGTGATTGTAGTGGTTGTGTCAGTGTGTGTGATTGTAGTGGTTGTGTCAGTGTGTGTGATTGTAGTGGTTGTGTCAGTGTGTGTGATTGTAGTGGTTGTGCCAGTGTGTGTGATTGTAGTGGTTGTGCCAGTGTGTGTGATTGTAGTGGTTGTGCCAGTGTGTGTGATTGTAGTGGTTGTGTCAGTGTGTGTGATTGTAGAGGTTGTGTCAGTGTGTGTGATTGTAGAGGTTGTGTCAGTGTGTGTGATTGTAGTGGTTGTGTCAGTGTGTGTGATTGTAGTGGTTGTGTCAGTGTGTGTGATTGTAGAGGTTGTGCCAGTGTGTGTGATTGTAGTGGTTGTGCCATTGTGTGTGATTGTAGTGGTTGTGCCAGTGTGTGTGATTGTTGTGGTTGTGTCAGTGTGTGTGATTGTAGTGGTTGTGTCAGTGTGTGTGATTGTAGTGGTTGTGCCAGTGTGTGTGATTGTAGTGGTTGTGCCAGTGTGTGTGTGATTGTAGTGGTTGTGTCAGTGTGTGTGATTGTAGAGGTTGTGTCAGTGTGTGTGATTGTAGTGGTTGTGCCAGTGTGTGTGATTGTAGAGGTTGTGTCAGTGTGTGTGATTGTAGTGGTGGTGTCAGTGTGTGTGATTGTAGTGGTTGTGTCAGTGTGTGTGATTGTAGTGGTTGTGTCAGTGTGTGTGATTGTAGTGGTTGTGCCATTGTGTGTGATTGTAGTGGTTGTGTCAGTGTGTGTGATTGTAGTGGTTGTGTCAGTGTGTGTGATTGTAGAGGTTGTGTCAGTGTCTGTGATTGTAGTGGTTGTGTCAGTGTGTGTGATTGTAGTGGTTGTGTCAGTGTGTGTGATTGTAGTGGTTGTGCCAGTGTGTGTGATTGTAGAGGTTGAAGTGATTAGGAATTTGCTTCAGATAATACTTATAGGCGGCATGGAGAAGACGTCCACTTTCAATCTGGAAGTAGGTCAAACTCTGTGAGACGGAGTTAATGATTTTTGTACGGAAGTGTGTATTGATGATTCATGCAACCTACTCAAATGGAAGTTCATTTTTTCTGGAAAAACTATCAAAATATAAACTAATTCAATACAACGGATAAATAATGTTTGCCATGAGGCAGGTATGTATATAGTATCACGTCCCACAGGGTGTGGTTCCGACAGGGTGTGGTTCTGACAGGGTGTGGTTCTGACAGGGTGTGGTTCCGACAGGGTGTGGGTCCGGCAGGGTGTGGGTCCGGCAGGGTGTGGTTCCGACAGTGTGTGGTTCCAACAGTGTGTGGTTCCGACAGGCTGTGGTTCCGGCAGGGTGTGGGTCCGACAGGCCGTGGTTCCGACAGGCCCTGGTTCTGGCAGGGTGTGGATCCGGCAGGGTGTGGGTCCGGCAGGGTGTGGGTCCAGCAGGGTGTGGGTCCGGCAGGGTGTGGGTCCGACAGGCCGTGTTTCCGACAGGTCGTGCGTGGGTTCGGCAGGGTGTTGGTCTGAAAGGGCGTGCATCTGGCAGGATGTGGTTTCAGCAGGGTTTGGGTCCGTCAGGGTGTGGGTAAGGCAGGATATGGGTCCATCTGGGTGTGGTTTAAGCAGGGTATGGGTCCGGCAGGGTGTGGGTCTGGCAGGGCGTGGATCCGGGAGGGTAGTACAGATGACTACTGGCCCCCTCTCCTCCAAGCTATGTAACACACTGTCTGCAATTGATACATTTCCTGAAATACGCTGACACTGTCACATGTCCTTGGTGTTTCCCCGTTATGGGGTTTGTTTCATCAAAATGAGATGTTTATCATTTGTGTAAAGATTGTAAAAATTACATGGCATCAGAAAAATAGACCTGCTCAAAAGGCATATCTTCAGAATCAGTTGAAACTTGGTGAAACTGTATGTATACTGTTGTGCATTGCATGGCTGTTATACAAAATTATTTTCATTCAAAGATATTATTGAAATTTGATACTTGTTACATATTAGTCAATACTTTTTTTCTCAAAACTGGCTGAAAATATCTTAATGTCAACACAATATGTGAATATTGCTCACTCACTCACCAAGTCATCAACCCACCCTCTTACCCACCTGCTCGCTCGCTCACTCACTCACTCACTCACTCACTCACTCACTCACTCACTCACTCACTCACTCACTCACTCACTCGTTCACTCACTCACTCACTCACTCGTTCACTCACTCACTGCATGCACTCACTCACTCACTCAATCACTCACTTTCACTCACTCACTCTCACTCACTCACTCACTCACTCACTCACTGACTCACTCACTCACTCACTCACTCACTCAAACTCACTCACTCACTCACTCACTCACTGCATGCACTCACTCACTCACTCACTCACTCACTCACTCACTCACTCACTCACTCACTGCAACCAATCATCATCTCTCGTCTCTGTCTCTTGAGAGATTCCACCTCCAGTAAATGGACGTGAATCCTGCTGAAGAAATACAAGCAAAAAGTGATTTGTCAGAAGATCTGCATCTAATAGACTTGCAAGATCTCAATAAATCCTGATTATTCAAATTTCATTCACTTTCCGCGACATCAAACAAATCCAAACACTTCACTTCCATCTGATCGTCATTTCTTCACTTAATATTGGGCTAGAGTTGCAACAGTTAATGAAACACGGTACCACTAATTGTTTCTAACGAGAGTTTAAGATGTGTGAAATGTTGTATTGATTGGGATAGGAGAGGGCAGTGTTGACGCTTCAGACGCGACTTGTGACCTGACGCTTGCCTTCATCTGCCACCAGAGGGCGCCACGAGTTGACAGTGAGACTGTAGGAGTCTTGTTGCAAGTCGGACTTCAGTTGAATAATTAACCTACTATACAGATATGAGGGAAAACGACAAACTTGAAAGTGCTCTAATGCTTGTCAAAATGTTTCTTGGAGCAAAGAGACCATTTTGTTGAACTATATAAAGATGAGAAGCAGCGGTACTGGCACTGGGTGGGTTTTGTCATTCATAGACTGCTCAAGGCATAGTTCACATGACATTTGGATAATTCGCGATGGTAGAAAAACATCATTAGAAGATGTGTTGTGTTTTGCTTGAAAGTAACGTGACACTCGCTGGAGAATGCAGCTGATTACACCACAGCATCACAAGGCGAGGGTCTTTCACCAGCGTGTCAGAGTAGATGTTTTAGTGGCACCGTCTTTAAACTGGAAAAAACACCATCCATCCCCTGTATGAGCCTTGTGACGAATGGTCGTGTTTCCTTAAAAGATGGCTTTCACCTTGAAAGTACAAGGTCATGTTAGTGAAGACAGTGTAAGTGTATGAAAGGGCACCTGCCTCAGACAGCACAGATAATGCTGTGTTTGTAAGGGTTGGCCTTTAGCTAATGTCTTGTTCTGTAGGGTGTTGTTATTGGGGGTGTGTGGGGGGGGGGGGGGGGGGGTGTGGGTGTGGGGGCGGGGGGGGGGGGGTGTGGGTGTGGGGGCGGGGGGGGGTGTGAGCATGAGTCTAAGGTGCTGTAATTTGATATGCCGAGTTGTGTCCCTTAGGCCCGATAATGTTCTATGGATCCACGTTTCCCACTTAGACTTAGATCTGGATCACTTGAGGCTTTCCTCCCACATCAGGCTGACAGGCTGTGGTATAACTGAAATACTGTTCAAAGCGAAGTTAAACCATACTAACTCTCTTAATCACCCTCTTTGTCTTGCATTCAGTTTATATCAGATGTTAAAATTTGGGAAATTTTGTAATAATCTGTCTCATTGGTCTTTATGTCAGTTTGCATCTCAGAAACAAGTAGAGCTAGTGTGGCCCTTTGTGGCAGGGTGGCCTTCTGTAAACAGGTGGCCTTCTGTAACGGAGCTGCCTTCTGTAACTAAGTGGCCTTCTGTAACGGAGCTGCCTTCTGTAACGGAGTGGCCTTCTGTAACGGAGCTGCCTTCTGTAACTAAGTGGCCTTCTATAACGGAGCTGCCTTCTGTAACTAAGTGGCCTTCTGTAAACAGGTGGCTTTCTGTAACGGAGCTGCCTTCTGTAACTAAGTGGCCTTCTGTAACTAAGTGGCCTTCTGTAACAAAGTCGCATTCTGTAACAAAGTCGCATTCTGTAACCGAGCTGCCTTCTGTACCGAGTGGCATTCTGTTAACAGGTGGCTTTCTGTAACGGAGCTGCCTTCTGTAACTAAGTGGCCTTCTGTAACAAAGTCGCATTCTGTAACCGAGCTGCCTTCTGTACCGAGTGGCATTCTGTTAACAGGTGGCTTTCTGTAACAGAGCTGCCTTCTGTAACAAAGTCGCATTCTGTAACCGAGCTGCCTTCTGTACCGAGTGGCATTCTGTTAACAGGTGGCTATCGTGCCTTCTGTAACAGGATGATAACGTTGTTGTGTGAATTAGGCCAAGAAAATGTTCCAGTACTTGATGGTGGTTGCAAGATGTCCTGAGCACTTGATGGTGGTTGCAAGATGTCCTCAGTACTTGATGGTGGTTGCAAGATGTCCTCAGTACTTGATGGTGGTTGCAAGATGTCCTAAGCACTTGATGCTTTTTGCAAGACGTCCTCAGTACTTGATGGTGGTTGTAAGATGTCCTCAGTACTTGATGATGGTTGCAAGATGTCCTCAGTACTTGATGATGGTTGCAAGATGTTCTTAGTACTTGATGGTGGTTGCAAGATGTCCTCAGTACTTGATGGTGGTTGCAAGATGTCCTCAGTACTTGATGGTGGTTGCAAGACGTCCTCAGTACTTGATGGTGGTTGCAAGATGTTCTCAGTACTTGATGGTGGTTGTAAGATGTCCTCAGTACTTGATGGTGGTTGTAAGATGTCCTCAGTACTTGATGGTGGTTGCAAGACGTCCTCAGTACTTGATGGTGGTTGCAAGACGTCCTCAGTACTTGATGGTGGTTGCAAGACGTCCTCAGTACTTGATGGTGGTTGTAAGATGTCCTCAGTACTTGATGGTGGTTGCAAGATGTCCTCAGTACTTGATGGTGGTTGCAAGATGTTCTCAGTACTTGATGGTGGTTGCAAGACGTCCTCAGTACTTGATGGTGGTTGTAAGATGTCCTCAGTACTTGATGGTGGTTGTAAGATGTCCTCAGTACTTGATGGTGGTTGTAAGATGTCCTCAGTACTTGATGGTGGTTGCAAGATGTCCTCAGTACTTGATGGTGGTTGCAAGATGTCCTCAGTACTTGATGGTGGTTGTAAGATGTTCTCAGTACTTGATGGTGGTTGTAAGATGTCCTCAGTACTTGATGGTGGTTGCAAGATGTTCTGAGCACGATGCTTTTTGCAAGACGTCCTCAGTACTTGATGATGGTTGCAAGACGTCCTCAGTACTTGATGGTGGTTGCAAGACGTCCTCAGTACTTGATGGTGGTTGCAAGATGTTCTCAGTACTTGATGGTGGTTGCAAGATGTCCTCAGTACTTGATGGTGGTTGCAAGATGTTCTCAGTACTTGATGGTGGTTGTAAGATGTCCTCAGTACTTGATGGTGGTTGCAAGATGTCCTCAGTACTTGATGGTGGTTGCAAGATGTCCTCAGTACTTGATGATGGGTGCAAGACATCGTCAGCAATTGATGCTTGACTCACTCACTCACCCGTCTATTCTTTGTAGCACTCTCTTATACACTTGTAATGATCATCATCTTTTCTGATTGGTTTCAGAATCTTCTACGTATCCCATGATTCCCAGGACTTGAAGATCTGGAGCTACATTGCCCGTGATGGACCAAGCAACGTCTTCAAGTGCAACGTCTTCAAAGCCTACAAGAAGGTAAGCCCACTTTCTATATTATCAAATATTCACTCATTTAATCAGATATCAACATTTGCTATGAGAACATATCCACATCAATCAATTTCTGAAAACAAATACTCAATAAATAATCGATTATGTTCGGCCCAAGGAACATGTGTATATTTTAAGTGACATTTTGAAAAGATGTTTGTACCCTGGGGATGCCAGCAATGTTTCAACTGTTTGACAAGACATTTTGTCAGCCGTGTTATGGAGCACCATGGCAGTGAATATTCATATTCCTTGCGTGGTTTTACTTGAGACCAGGTCTTGAACATGGTCATGGTCATCAATTATAACAGTCGGCCAGTGTCCAAGAATAGGAATCTATCTAAAATCCTGTCCTCAATACAAGCAGTGAATTTCCTCAATACAAACAGTTTATTTCCTCAATACAAGCAGTGAATTTCCTCAATACAAGTAGTGAATTTCCTCAATACAAGACGTGAATTTCCTCAATACAAGCAGTGAATTTCCTCAATACAAGCAGTGAATTTCCTCAATACAAGACGTGAATTTCCTCAATACAAGCAGTGAATTTCCTCAATACAAACTGTGAATTTCCTCAATACAAGCAGTGAATTTCCTCAATACAAGCAGTTAATTTCCTCAATACAAGACGTGAATTTCCTCAATACAAGCAGTGAATTTTCTCAATACAAGCAGTGAATTTCCTCAATACAAACAGTTAATTTCCTCAATACAAGCAGTGAATTTCCTCAATACAAACTGTGAATTTCCTCAATACAGGTAGTGAATTTCCTCAATACAAGCAGTGAATTTCCTCAATACAGGCAGTGAATTTCCTCAATACAAACAGTTAATTTCCTCAATACAAGCAGTGAATTTCCTCAATACAAGCAGTTAATTTCCTTAATACAAGCAGTGAATTTCCTCAATACAAACTGTGAATTTCCTCAATACAGGTAGTGAATTTCCTCAATACAAGCAGTGAATTTCCTCAATACAAGCAGTGAATTTCCTCAATACAGGCCTCAGCTGATACAACCATAAACAAATCCGGTTTTAACTCTGTTCAAAATATTGCATCCATACACATACAAAATGAGATGCTAGTAATTTGCACTTGCGAGCCCTGTGAGACTGCTTGAGGAATATCCTTGGAGTCCTGGATAGATAGACCTAGGTAGCTCCATGCATTGCCTCATGACATCCAATATGTGATGATTGTGTCCACTGCAGCTGCTCCCAACATAGCAGGTTAGTTACAGACCAGCATGTGCTGATCCTTGCTGGCTCCCATCGGCTCCAGCTGACACTTGTAGTGGTCAGATGGTCAGACATCTCTGGTGGTCAAGTGCCCGGGGTCATACATGCTGGTTGTTACACAAGATGTTTCAGAAACAGACACAGCCTCATGCTTCGTGATGTGCGTGATGAAGCATCTCTGAGGGACGTAGGCTATTGGACTTTATCCTACTCTCCTCACAACACACACTCAATTTATTTTATGTACAATATTCCTAACCACATTCTTCACTCCAAGTGATAAATTGGTCAGGAAAAATAAATCTACGAAGGATATGCCCCCTGTCTGTTTAGAAAACAAAGGTGAACATGTCAGTATTTGTTACAGCCATGGCTGGATGCGTGATCCATTATTTATCTGAACCCCATATTCAGCCACAAGTCTGCAGCAAATGTCAGTAAACAAATTGGGAAAATCTCCTACAAAAATGTTCAGCAAATTTAATGGCTTTGTAGAGCTGATTTGTATTTGTCTGACAAGAGGAGAAGTTGCGATAAATGCTTTTTGCTAGTTTTAAGTTATTGTATAGAATGCAGTGTTAAAACACCTCCAAGTTTCAGAATAAGATTGTATAAGAAATCCTAATTTGCCTGCCCAGTGCACTTACTTTGGAAGCCCAGAGGAAACATGACCATATGCCAGCATGTATTCTGAAACATATATCAAACCATTATGTGGTGATATATGTCGTATCACACACTTATGACTACAATATTATACATTAACCCCCCGGGAACAACTAATTGATGAATTATGGTATTTGTCGATCAGAATCTCAATGTCTGCCAAAAGTACTCTCCCCAGGGAGCTGAGAATGTCTGTTCATATGAATCTATTCATTATGAGTAGCAACTGGCAGGTGTAATGAGCTATAAGCTGGCTCTAAAAGGATTGTCGTGTTCCTACTGACAGATCACAGTTGCAGGAAAGTTACAGTTGAAGATGAATTTATCCTGGCTCTTACTTCACCTAATGTGGGGCTTTGGATCATAATGTCTGTCCTTATGTCTGTCATTACATCATGCGAACTGTCAGAGGAAACCTTCCTCCATGTTTTAAGGACATTCATATGACAAATAATCCATTGTGTAATTTCCCCCGTTGACAAGGTATCAATAAAATAGGGCTTTCCTCTTTTCTCGTGGCTAATGCGCTGCTTTCCTGGCGGACTGCCTCTGTCTCAGGGTGATGAGGCCGCGCCATGTTTGCATGCTTCATACTTGACATAAACAGACAAAACCATTTCCATAATCATAAGTCAGTCTCTGCTGACTCCTTTGGAAGATTCTGACTGTGTTTATAAATACAATAGTAGTTTTGTAGGGGAGTAGCTTAGTGGTTAAAGCAATATTCACTTGTCAGTCCTGGGTTCTATTCCCAGCATGGATACAATGATGTCCCCCATATTAAACATTGTCTTTGTAAAATTTTCTCACTCACAGTTGGAATGAAAAATATATTTAAATTTTCTAAAACTAAACTAATTTGTCAAACTAGGCAACCCATATTGGTTGTTATGCTACCTTCCTGTCAGCTTAAACATCAATAGTAATCAATACCCATGTCCTGGTGTCCAATATAATAGAATAATAGGTATATTTGTCTTTCAAGAAGACTTCGTAATGCCCCCCACAATAACACATGTAGCCATGCTGTTTGACCTCATCACTATCTGTGTCTTCAGTGTAGGTGATACGTGACTATATACGGTGTATGTCACAGGGTAGATGTTGTAGTGGAGCAGTAACCAGTGATGCTTGCTTCAATGTAGGTGATACATGACTATATACAGTGTATGTCACAGGGTAGATGTTGTAGTGGAGCAGTAACCAGAGACATCCTTGCTTCAGTGTAGGTGATACATGACTATATACAGTGTATGTCACAGGGTAGATGTTGTAGTGGAGCAGTAACCAGAGAGATCCTTGCTTCAGTGTAGGTGATACATGACTATATACAGTGTATGTCACAGGGTAGATGTTGTAGTGGAGCAGTAACCAGAGACATCCTTGCTTCAGTGTAGGTGATACATGACTATATACAGTGTATGTCACAGGGTAGATGTTGTAGTGGAGCAGTAACCAGAGACATCCTTGCTTCAATGTAGGTGATACATGACTATATACAGTGTATGTCACAGGGTAGATGTTGTAGTGGAGCAGTAACCAGAGACATCCTTGCTTCAGTGTAGGTGATACATGACTATATACAGTGTATGTCACAGGGTAGATGTTGTAGTGGAGCAGTAACCAGAGATATCCTTGCTTCAGTGTAGGTGATACATGACTATATACAGTGTATGTCACAGGGTAGATGTTGTAGTGGAGCAGTAACAATGTGATACTTGCTTCAGTGTAGGTGATACATGACTATATACAGTGTATGTCACAGGGTAGATGTTGTAGTGGAGCAGTAACCAGAGACATCCTTGCTTCAATGTAGGTGATACATGACTATATACAGTGTATGTCACAGGGTAGATGTTGTAGTGGAGCAGTAACCAGAGACATCCTTGCTTCAGTGTAGGTGATACATGACTATATACAGTGTATGTCACAGGGTAGATGTTGTAGTGGACCACTAACCAGAGAGATCCTTGCTTCAATGTAGGTGATACATGACTATATACAGTGTATGTCACAGGGTAGATGTTGTAGTGGAGCAGTAACCAGAGACATCCTTGCTTCAGTGTAGGTGATACATGACTATATACAGTGTATGTCACAGGGTAGATGTTGTAGTGGAGCAGTAACCAGAGACATCCTTGCTTCAATGTAGGTGATACATGACTATATACAGTGTATGTCACAGGGTAGATGTTGTAGTGGAGCAGTAACCAGAGAGATCCTTGCTTCAGTGTAGGTGATACATGACTATATACAGTGTATGTCACAGGGTAGATGTTGTAGTGGAGCAGTGACCAGAGACATCCTTGCTTCAGTGTAGGTGATACATGACTATATACAGTGTATGTCACAGGGTAGATGTTGTAGTGGAGCAGTAACCAGAGAGATCCTTGCTTCAGTGTAGGTGATACATGACTATATACAGTGTATGTCACAGGGTAGATGTTGTAGTGGAGCAGTAACCAGAGAGATCCTTGCTTCAGTGTAGGTGATACATGACTATATACAGTGTATGTCACAGGGTAGATGTTGTAGTGGAGCAGTAACCAGAGACATCCTTGCTTCAATGTAGGTGATACATGACTATATACAGTGTATGTCACAGGGTAGATGTTGTAGTGGAGCAGTAACCAGAGAGATCCTTGCTTCAGTGTAGGTGATACATGACTATATACAGTGTATGTCACAGGGTAGATGTTGTAGTGGAGCAGTAACCAGAGAGATCCTTGCTTCAGTGTAGGTGATACATGACTATATACAGTGTATGTCACAGGGTAGATGTTGTAGTGGAGCAGTAACCAGAGACATCCTTGCTTCAGTGTAGGTGATACATGACTATATACAGTGTATGTCACAGGGTAGATGTTGTAGTGGAGCAGTAACCAGAGAGATCCTTGCTTCAGTGTAGGTGATACATGACTATATACAGTGTATGTCACAGGGTAGATGTTGTAGTGGAGCAGTAACCAGAGACATCCTTGCTTCAGTGTAGGTGATACATGACTATATACAGTGTATGTCACAGGGTAGATGTTGTAGTGGAGCAGTAACCAGAGACATCCTTGCTTCAGTGTAGGTGA